TATTTATTATGATTTTTTTTTGTCCCCCACCAAAAATGAAATTTAAATGCCAATCCGAGGACTCGTCTAATCTTTGTGTAAAATGTTAAACTCTCATCAATCTCAGCCCTTTCTTAATAGCATTTTTATTACTGTTCACAATATTTCCTTTTATATACATCTGCATATATTACAAACTCCAAGGCTTTAAAAGAAGCCTACAGTCAAATATTGAATAAAAATGCTAAATATCACAGTGGAAAAGTGTGTAAAAAAATTAATTTTCTACTAGTTACTAGTTAAACCCCACAAAGGACCATTTTAAAGTCTCTTTAATAATAATGCTCCATTGGTCCATTGTAGGCTGAGCTTTATAATGTCCAGCAATACTTTTTTTAAATTTTAGACATCCCTTGTGTGTCATCAGTGTATTTCCCCCTCGTTTTTGTCTTTACTTGGTTTAAAAAAAAAAAGAATAAATCTTGTTTGCAGTCCAAACGCCCACATCCCTCTGAGCCAGACGAGCAGCTCCGTCAGTCTGTGTTGGGATCATTGCTTTGTCTTCAGACCGAGCACTTCCTTCTGTAAAAAGAAAACATTTTTCATCAGATTATATTTCAATTGTCTTCCTAATAACCACAACTTCTGTATTTTATCTGTTTTTTTTTTTTTTGTGATGTGCAGAAGTCGTGCCAAGCTCAGTTCTGCCTCACTGACCTGCAGCTCCAGCCGCTTGCTCCTTTCCTCCTTCAGCTCTTTTTTCACTTCCTGCATGTCTTGTCTTCAGCAAACGAGACACAAATAAAGAGAAGAGGGAAGTCAAAATGAGCTGACTGCGCTGCTCAGTGCCTGTCACGTCTTATAAATAGCACATCTTTTTCTCCACACTCACACATTCTGACTTATTTAAAGGAGAAGCACAAAGACTTGGGTTAATGATCAGGTTTTAAACAGTTTAAACCAATTTGATGTAATATTTGTATCTGCCTTGATACTGTTGTTTTTCATGAATCAAATATTGGAGTAAAGGTGTAGATTTATCCAGACTCCAGAGCATAAAGGCAACATGTTACAGAATTAGTTAACAAAATAGATCCAATAGATAAAAACGTGTAACTCAGTGTTTATCATTCATAAAGTTTATACATCCAGTCACAAAAATAACTGTGTAAATCAATTAATAATCTGATCAGCTTTGAAGGGATGTTCAGTCACATGGTTATCAATAGTTAGTAGTTTATCAGTCAGAGCACAAAGGGTGTAGGAAAGTGCAAAAGACTTCATCCAGGCTGGGCTAATGGCCAAATGAGGACAGGTTGTGCATCATTTTTCTGGCTTCTAAAACAACTCTTGCTCAAAAACAATATATGTGTGTGTAATAATATTAAACCTCTTCACTTTTGCATGACACCGTCTGTATGATTTGTCTCTGTTTTCTCAATTAACACTGTCTGCTTTACTACATGAATGTATGTGCTGCGAGCATAGACCAGGTTGATGCCAAGAGGCTGTGTGAGTAGTATCCACCTTATTCCTGGGGGCTCTACTGTTTAAATGATTATGGGAACAACTTCCTGTCGTAACAGTAAGCACTGGTTAACTACGGTAGTGGAGCACGGTTTATTTGAAAGTAATTTGCATTCAGTGTTGCAGATAAAACACAGGTTTTGTTGTTGTCCTGTTTGAGCTCTGACAGGTGGTGCTCCTACATGTTTAGATTAAATCCACAATGCTCGGAGAAACTACATTAGCTCGTACTGTTCGCACATAAACGAACACCGGTTCCGGTCTGCACCGGAAGTCGCACCCATAATTCACGCAAGACAGCGTGGGGGCTAGAAATTCAGTGGATTCAGAACTATTCGACAGAACATCACCTCAGAAATAACCAAACTATCTCTTAAAGTTTTCTTAGCACATATTGAAGTCTGTGGATTAGCTTGGAGTCAGATGGATCAGCGCAGCTGTAGTTTTAGCTGCATTAAATGGTCGGTACTCACTCGTGTCGTGTTTGAAGCAGCTCCAGAGCCATCCTCAGCTCTCTGACCTCAGTCTGAAGGCTTCCCACAGTCGGCTCTTCTTTATTGTTCTCCGTTACGGTTTTCACATTAGCTTTAGGAGGAGTCGGTCGAACTGGAGGGGGCGTCTTGGGTGAAAGGTCAGGCCTCGGAGGTAATAATGGCGTGATGATTTCTGGACCCTTGAATAGAAAAGGAACAAACTCTTTAAATACAAAGGTTACGGCTGTAAGTACAGGGGTCTGTTACCATCTAATTTGAAAGAATAGTCTGGAGAGTTTAAGATATGTTTAAATCTGTGAATTTAAATCAGATATATTTAGATCCGTTGCTCATCAAGTGGTTAGAACCGAAGAAACACGTGAACAGGTGCGGCTCCTTGCTTCAGTACTTCTCATTTCCTGTCGACATCTTGCCACCTTGCAAGTACGTTTGCTTTTGTACCATCACAAAGCATTTCCTATAAGTGGGTACTGGTGTTTGAACCATTTAGTCCCACATTTCACAACCATTTTGAAATGATAAATCGAATTTTAAATCGCTACAACTTCAAGATAAAATTATAGCTTTGTGTAACATGTGTTTTAACGAAAGAAAGAATAAAATATAATTTATTATAAACACCTTAATTATATACAATTTGAAACCAGTGAATGTCACAAACCTTTTGTAAGACAGGAAGCTTGTCAGTTTGGGGCTTTTTGGGTTCTGGTTCTGGTTTGGTCTGATTTGTCTCACTCTGAGCCTACAAAAGAGAAGGAACCTTTCATTCTCACTGTTTTCAGTCTCAACAGGAAGTTTTGTCTCTGCTGCGGCCAAATGTTACTTCAGGGAATCAATTCTTTCTTTTCCCAGAATTATCTATAAACCCGCGGGGATCAGGATTCAACTTGTTGCTGCCTGTGAAGTGAAAACTTGTGAGCAGCTCATGAAAAATGGAGCAGAACTGCCTTTACACACATTTCACAGTTAGCATGCATGTGCAAAAACCTGCATATAAAACAATGTCTCCTTTTGTTACGGCAAAACTTTATAAGAATGGTCTGAAAACTAAGATCTGAATCCCCTTTGTGCAAAAGGTAGTAAAGGTTGAAAAAACATTTCCTCAAAATAACTTGTGATAATCTAAACTTGTAAAAATATTTCCGTATCTCACTGTAAATTAAACAGGAATAAAGTATGCTATGCACAAAATATAAAGTGTACCGTATTTTTTGGACTATAAGGCGCAATTTCAATGAACAGGTCTGTTTTCAGACATAAGGTGCACCGGATTATAAGGCGTATTAAACAAAACAAAACAGTGAGATAACTAGGCCTGTCACGATAAACAATAAATCAATTAATCGCATGATAAATCAAAATTATTGACCTCATTTTCATTTATTGGTTTTATAGTTTCTTTGTTTCTCTCTCTTTCTACTGAAGACACTGGATGACAAAAGGTTCAACTCCGGTGCTCTTCACTGACCCCCCCCCCCCTCCCTTTTTCTCTTTAAAATCTGTTTTAATCGTCCAAAATTGCGGTTTTGGATTGTTAAAAGCAGCTAAGCTGAGAAGCTAAGCTACGAGCTATGCTAACAGGCCGACCTCGAGGGAAAAAAATCAGTCACGTCGAATCTTTAAAATTCACAGTTGAAACCCGTGCCTTTGCGTAAAAAGTGTTTTTCTGCAAAAAGAAGCTGAGAACTTGTTTATTAAAAGCTTTGTGTGAAAAATGCTATGCTAAAGAGCTCAAACCACACCGAGCGTCCGCCATTTTGAGAACCGAAAAAAAGGAAGGAGAGACAGCCCATGTCACGTCAATGGTCTCTTTCCCATTTTTCTTAAAGAGACACTCTGCTCGCTCCCTCACTATCCATCCTTCGGTTCAAACTGCCATCCCTTAGTCAAAAAAAGGTACTACACTCAAAGCAAATTAACCAACATTTCTTCTTAAATTTGAAAATAACTACTAATTATTGTCAAATTTCAAACAATATCGTTTATCACAATAATTTCGGAGACAATTAATCGTCCAGCAAAATTTGTTATCGTGACAGGCCTACAGATAAGTCGAACTTTAGTCAACTCATTCACAATAACTCAACATTGTTCAGTTGTACCACGTAAAATCGGTTCGAGGTCAGTAAGCACAACTAGAATTAACACATAAAGTGCACTGGATTAGGCTCACCGTGGAATTTTGAGAAAATTTAAGGATTTTAAGTGCACCTTATAGTCCGAAAAATAGGGTATTTGCAGAAATGGTGGTTAACATGAAGATGCCATGTTATGAAACACAATATTCTCTGACATGAAACCCACTGGTGTTGCTGTGGTTTGGCCTGGAGGTCGCCGCTGTGGAGGTTTGGCTCTGTTCGCCGTAGGATGACTCAGCTTTTCGCTTTGCACGTCCACCCCATCAAACTGATCGGCCTCCTTCTCTTCTGGCTTTTTGGGTGAAGGAGGTGGCGCATCACCGTTGGTTGTACTGCACGTAAAAAGAAGAGATTGAAATTGTCAGGTGGCTGGCAGTGAAGGAGTTTGTGTTGAAGGTGAATCTTTCTCGACAAGTCTTGTTTATGCTTCTGCAGCTCTCTCTGTGTGTGTGTGTGTGTGTGTGTGTGTGTGGGGGGGGGGTGTCTGTTGTGTGTATTTTGTTCAGGAAACAGGAAATGAGCGGCTCTCATCTGTTCTGCTCTGATCTGACTCATCTCGAAGTCTCCACCGAGCCACTGAATGTCAGCTATTCTTCTTTAACGGCTCCACGGCAACTGGTGGTGGCAACTAAAACCTTTAACTTCTAAGGACTTTGCTTCTGGTGCCAGACCAAAGACGGAAACATGTTCCTGACCTTTGTTAACGGCCTTTTTTTTCTTGTAGGAAGCTTGCAAACAAATAACTATTTGTTCTCCAAAGGCCTTTAGTGACTTTTGGCTGAGGTTAGTAAGAAGTGAGAACAATAAGGGTTCTTTGGTTACTCACTTTGGTAAAACCTTGTTGGGTTTTTCTTTGGTGGGAGGTGGAAAAGGCTTGAGGGGGGGCAGTTTGACTTTGGTTGGAGGATTGCTTCTCAAATCTTTACTTTCTGGCTTGTGGTCATCTGTGAAACAAAGTCATTGTGTTATTTTGGAATGGTATTTATGGTTGAGCACCGATATTGTAAAATAAAACTTAATTGTTAGCTGTACCTTTTGCTTTCAGTGGATCAACTTTGTCCATTGGTGGCTCTTCTGTTTTAGCTGAAAGAAACAGTCAGTGTAAATTTAACTTTGGGTCCATCTGATTACATTTGATACATTTTATGTATTTTATACTATTTAATGGCATCTGGCGCCTGCAACAAAGCAGTGATGTCCTCCACTGGCTGCTTCTAAAGAAACAATGCCTCTGAGTTTATGGTTCAGTTTTACATTATCAGCAGAATGTGGTGTTTGCCAGTCTGCAACCGTTCTGTGTGTATGTCTTCGTGGACATGGAGGATGCTGCTGCTACAGAGCATGCATGCTCAGCAAACCTGCACATTCTTAAAGGGGTCATGGCATCCTTTTGCGGATGTCCCCAGCTCTTATCTGTGAGAACTTTTTGTCTGTTAGGCAAAAAGTCCACACCCAAGCGACTTATCGTTTATGCAGTTGCTAAAAACTTGCACTAATATGCAAGCTGTTTTTCAGCTAGTTTTAATTTCATTATCAACCACATATGCACATATTGAAGCTCATTAACTGGTTGCACCTTATAAACCCAAAGTTGTCATTAAATCGGTCCCGTTTGCGTTTGGTAATTGAAAAAGTCCAAACAGAGGCAGCTCTTATGTGTCAGTAGGTCTTTCCGTGAATCGGTTCCACAATACGGCTGCAAAAGCCTCCGTTCTGGACCTGCGATTCTGTGTCCGTTTTTCATTGTTGTCCTTTCAGACCCAGCCGGTCGAAGCAGATGGCCACTCATCATGAGCCTGGTTCTGCTGGAGGTTTCTTCCTGTTATGAAGGAGTTTTTCCTTTCCACTGTCGCCTGATGCTTGCTCAGGATGGGAGACTGCGACGAAATGAAGACTCGGTGCAATCTGCTGGCTATCCTACCTTAGATAATGTTATTAATTGAATTTTTATGTATATGAATGTTTCCGTTCAGTGTCCCGAGATGACTTCTGTTGTGACTTGGCGCTATATAAATAAGCTGAATTGAATTGAAAGGTGAGCCAGTCTTTCAGAAACATCTGGTCATTCAAAAAAAAAACCATCTCTCAAGTTGACCACAGCCCGCGACCATGCGTCCACACAAATGTAGCTGGCACTGCAGAACTTGCGGGCAATGGCAACACTGTTGGAGTGGAGCACTGCTCACAATGTCTTCACACTCACCAACTCAGCTCTGTGACTACCTCTCTTGCTAGCGCAGAGGCATAACAGCAGCAGGTCAACTTCAACCCAACAAATCTCACCAAGACGAGAAAAAGGTGTTCTCAAATTCTCATATTCCTATTCAGAGGTAACAGATTTGAATTATCCTTTAGCTAATTCAGCCACTTTGACAGTAACTTACATGAACGTGTCTGTGAAAAAAACTAATCAACTAATTGCTGACTTTGACCCCAATTTCAACTATGCTTTCTCGTCATTTAAAAAAAGGACTTGTGCAAGTCCACTGGTCCATTTTAAAGAGAAATCACTTTAACCACCACACTGCTCGAGTGTTGGTTTTTTTTTTATGATGATGATGATGATAACGGCTTAGTGTGAAATTTAAATCTAAGATAGAAGAAGTGGCAACAATGTGCTCATCACTGGAGACAACAGGTCACTGAACTGTCCAACTCCTCTACAGCTTCACTTCCTAATAATCCCAACGTTTTCAAGGTCAGATTCTGCTGCACCATAGAAAAATCACACAACCGTCTATGTGAGAACTTTGTGTTGGAGATGGTTAAACTCTGATATATTTAGGGATGTGATAGCATCCTATAGTTGTCCAGGCAATTCCAAATTCCACCGCTTGTATATGACAAATGAGGTTTATGAACTTGGCTGCAGGCCTGCTAGAATTAAATCAGCTTAAATCTTAAAAGTAGACCTAAAGCAGTGCAGAAAAATTCAAAGAAAGAGAGTGGAATTTGTTGCCCTCTGTTAGAACAGTCATAAGAAATTAATAGCAGCATAATTAGAAGCACATAAATCCTACCGTGAGTTTTCAGAGCATTGTGAAACATTTCCCTCCAAAGTAAAACAGCACAGCTGTGTCTCAAGTGCTGTTTGTGTCTGTCGGTGAAAATCTCTGTGGCGGAGCTTCGCCCCCCCTTTCCTCCGAGACTTCTAAACAGGGTCACATGACTGTGATAACCACCCCCCTCCATCTCTCCGAGACATCCTGTGAAGTTTTTGGAGCGATACTGTCTGCATGTATTGTGCAACGTGCTTGATGCACGTTTCAAATTGTCCACCAGGAAAACAACTGGTGAGAAGATGACACTAAAGAAAAGCGTTTGTTGTTGCAAAAAAAAATAAAAATGTATAACTTGTGCTAAAAAAACAACAAACATCAGCTAAGACCTGAGGCACATCCTGCTGTATGCGACTCAGAGGTTCAGTTTCCTGATAAGTTACTTAAAAATTAATTTTACGGCACACTTATTAAGCGGTTTGTAACACCGAACAAAAGCGATTAAATATTGGCTGTGAAAATTATGAATATAGAAATTATAGTCATTTTTTTAAAGTAACCATTAAACTGTTGCATGTTGAATTAGATTGTACACACTTAAAGCTAATACTGTATTTTTCGGACTATAAGGCGCATTAAGCGAAACAAAAAACAGTCAGATAAGTCAAACTTTATTCAACTCATTCACAATAACCACATAAAATGGTTTGAGGTCAGTAAGCACAACCAGAATTAATATTCATTCATTCATTCAACCTTTATTTAGACAGGTAAATCCCATTTGAGCCTCGAGGACTCATTTACAATTAAGATCTGAATCAATATATATAAGTAATATATAAGGCACATCTGATTATGCCACTGTTGTCATCACTCTTTGTTAAAAAAAAAAATCAGGTGTCTCTTGTAAATGAGTCCCCGAGGCTCAATGGGATTAACCTTTGTAAATAAAGGTTGAATGAATAAAAAAAAATAAGGCTCACTGTCGACTTTTGAGAAAATTAAAGGAGTGCGCCTTATAGTCCGAAAAATACGGTAAGTAAATTGTTTAGTGATTTTATTTCAAGCCAAAATAACTGAGGTGCTACCATTTCTAACTGAGGTATTCCCCATTATTTTAGCTTTATCTTAATAGCAAAATATATATAATAATCTTTTACGAGAAGAATAACGTGACTAAATGAATAAACGTGAAACAATGCATTTCGTACACATATTTTACTCGAGGGAATAAAGGCAGTACATTTTGTAAAATTTGATTTCCTTTCAACAAAATGTTCTTCTCTGCATTTCAAGCTGAATTCTTGTCATGTCTGAACTGGTTCAGTGAGTTAATTGAGAGCTGCGGGGCAGGGAACGTCCCTGTTGTTCCATCTACTGTGAACCGACGACAGCTGCTACAGATACTGTAGCTGCCGGAGCATCATTAGACTCTGCAGGACATGCTTCATCTAAAAGGAGGAGTGTAGTGTCACACCAACTCTCTAAGAAGTCCTTTGTGGAATAATTCATACCGAGATCAGGTACATGGAAAATTCCACATTTGTGCTCTAAATACACATTTAGTCCTGCATCTTTGAAAGGTGTGTTCATTCATTCTTTCATTCTCTGGTCATTTTTATTCAAATTTAAGTATTCATAAAAAAATTTGCAACCAAACGCAATTATTAATGATGCTCCGTGCAACTGAAGACATTTAAAATGTTCAAAACTGCCTCTTTTTGTTGCCATATTTTGTGTAGTTTTCATCAAATATTGACCAATATGAGTTTTTCTATGGCCGATACCAATCAGGTGTTTGATATAGAACGCCAATTATTGTTTGTTTTGTTAAATATGTAATTTTCAGTTAAAGGGCTGCGGTAGCTTGATGGTCAGTGCCGCGGTCTTGTAATCCTGAGGTTGCAGGTTCGAGCCCAGGTTGCGTTGGAAAGGTCATCTGGCATAAAACAATTGCCAAATCTTTCAGGCGAGTTTTCTCACTGTGGTAAACCCAGAAGGCTGGAGCAGCCGAAATAAACTTTTTATGTTTGTTTCAGTTAACAAAATATAATAACAATAATAATAACGAGGTCTATTATGGTCTGTAATTGAGGATTTTTGTTTAAATTGTGGGCTACAGTAAGCTGGCAGTAGCAGCTGCTACTGCATGTTTGTCCTCCTACTTGTTAAGGTAAGTGGAGGCGCATTTATTTCTGTTATAGTAGCCAATATCAGCCAATTAAAGTTGGTCAGCAGATTATTTGATCTCTACTTTTAATAATATGCTGAAATTATTTGATCTTGTCTACATATTTGAATTACTCTTTGTGGTGAGTTATTGCCTATATGTTACTTTGGTTTAAAAAAAATAAAATAAAAAAGGCTTTTTCGTATGAAAAAATAGAACAATCGATCATTTTGACATGCAAATGTTTTCAGGTGCATCTTATAGCTCCAAAGTTTTCCTCAGATTATTTTAGATCTGTGTAATAACTTGACGGGCACACAATCCAGAAGCAAAGTTACAGTACAGCTCTATTTCATTATCAGACATCGTCTGTTGATGCTGCTGAGTTTTGTTCAGTTCATTTATTTATAAAGCGCCAAATCACAACAGAAGTCGTCTCAGGGCACTGAACAGAAACATTCATATATAAAAATAACAAGTTAACACTATTTATCTGAGGAGCAGACTGCTTTGAGTCTAACTTCCTCACAGACTCATCTTGAGCAAGCATGAAGGCGACAGTGGAAAGGAAAAACAGTTCCCTCATGAGGAAGAAACCTTTAGCAGAACCAGGCTCGGGACAAGCGTCCATCTGCTTCGACCAGCTGGGTTTGAGAGGAACAGGAAGGAGGAACAGATACACAATGGCAGGTGGAGAATCACAGGTTTAGATAGAAATAGTATCAAATGAAAACTATTCAGTTTTAACAGTTCATTTAAGGAAATGAGGTCAGTTTGTCCTCTAGTAGTCTAAGTCTATAGCAGCATAACAAGCCAACCCTAACTATAGGATTTATCAAAAAGGAAAGTCTTAAGCCCAGTCTTAAACTGGACAATGTGTCACCGTTACGGACAGAAACTGGAAGATCTTCCTCCTCCAAATCAGAAACATGTTTGTTCTCTTACCTGGGACTTTAATACTGCCGGTGCGTGCTGGTGGCTGGCTCGTGTTCCCAGACTAAAAGAGGAGAAACAGAAACTTAGCAGGTTGGCTCACATGTCTTCTTGTGCACTTCAAGGCAAACTGTTGAACACAATCTTTCCATGGTGGAAATTTTTTGAGTGAGTAACTCGAATACAGAAGATGTCCGAACCAAGCCTGAGTCATCACAGAGTCCTGGCAGCAGATCACAACCTAGCTGACAACGAACAGGTGCTTTTTCATTTTAAGAACATTTTTAATTCAGAAAGTAAAAGCTGATGCAGTTTACTATGAGGCGTGCCCAAGGCTTCATGGCTGTGCAGAAAAATGATCAAAGTCCTCCTGGATAGAAGAAAGAGAAGATCCAATCCAGCTGGAGACAGGTTGACTCACTTGCAGGGTGTCCTTTGGCGGTAGAAGCATCACGAAGTTGTCGGGAAAGAAGCCGCGGCGTCCGTTCAGCTCTCCCTCCCACCAGCCTTCATCTTCGGTTTCCTTCAGATGCAGATTAAAGCGTCACATTAGAGGCTCCAACAAGACTCTCTGTCCTTTGGGACGTGAAATTAGCAGGAGGTTGACAAAAGGTCAAGCAAAACTTTCCTCTCAGTTTCACGTTTTCTTGGGTTGGAGCAACTTTTATGCATGTCTGAGGTACATCTGCTGCTTTCTCTGCATCTCATTAATTTTTGCTTTGAGGCTTGTAATAGTTGGGCTTTGTTTTTGTTAAACTGATTGTTATTTTGAAGAGTGTAAGACCTGCGTTACAGTGGCTGAACAGTGCAATCGCGCTGCAAACACACGAATGATGCAAAGTCCAAAACACAGAAACACAAAAATAATAAACGCAACAGCAAAATTCTGCGATCATAGAAAATAGAAGAAAAAAAAATGCAACCAACAAAATATCCATCCATCCAGTCATCATCTTTATCTGCTTCTTCCTTTTTCGGGTTGTGGGGGTCACTGGTGCCCATATCCAGCCATCACTGTGTGAGAGGCAGGGGACACCCTGGACAGGTCTCCAGTCCATCACAGGGACACATGGAGACAAACGAGACAAACAACCATTCACTCTCTCACTCACACCTAGGGACAGTTTTAGTCATAAGACCATTTCTCTGACTTTAAGCATTAGCAAAACCTTTCATGAACAGATTAAATAAAACCCTTGGTAATCCCTGGATGTACATCTACAGCTGATCAACTTTTAGTCATTATTTAAAAAATGGCTGCCACAACTAAGTAACCTTAGGATAAACAAAAATGATAATAATGATAATAATAATGTTAATTTTGCAGCTACTGAGCTAAAATTTGTCATGGTAGTAGCTGAGAGTCATTCCCAACATAAACTCTGAGCATTTCTGATTGTGCAAGATTTTGTTTCAAAACTTTGCCATTAACTAATACGGTTAACTCTGGATGTCTGTTGGCAAAATATCTCCTAAACCACAGAACATGTTTTAATGAAACGTTCATAAACTAATCAATGGGTCTTCATTGGCAGCTGATCAACTTTTGGAGTCCCTTTATTTCAAGACGGCTGCCACAGCATTAGTCGACACATAAACGGCTCCAAGTCCGTCGATTTTACTGAGCTAAAACTTGGGGTGGTGGTTGCTGAGTGTCATTACTAACAAATACTCAAAGTGCTACTCCTTGCACCTTTTCTTCTTTATTATCCGTTGACACCAGCCCTGTTTGTTAGCCAAATTTCTTAAGAACCATTGATCAATCATTAACTTTAACTCTCAAATAATAACACGCCACAGCCAATCAACAGTAGTCAACACAAAAAATGGTTATACTCATTTGGTTTAAAGGTTAACGATCAAAATGTTTGAGAGTAGCTGAGAGTCATTCTAAACACATACTCTGAGGGCTAACGGATCGTGCAACATCTATACGTATTACATCAAGCAAGCTTTGACTTAAAACGCTTCAACTCTGTTTTCACTTTAAGATTGTTTTAATCTAAAACCACAAAGGGATCACTTATTATTTTTCCCAGTACCTACAAAGAAATCAAAGCAGATCTTTATGAAAGAAGTGTGTGAAGATAACCTAAAGTTGTCTTTATGCCTGCAGGAGGACGTGGTTTCCTCGAAAGGAAAACAACTGGTTGGTCCGGTTGAACAGGTTGTACTGTACACCCAGCAGCGCTGGGAAACACATGGCTGTCAATCCAGTGACAGTAAAACCACGACGGGAAATAAACTAAATAAACATGATCGGAAATGAAGTCAGGAAACAAAGAGTTCAAACCTTGTTCAGCAGCACTACAACATCTCCTTTTTTCAGATCCAGCTCATCCTCTGCTTTGGCTTTATAGTCAAACATGACTTGGCAACACTCAACAGCTGTGGACGCAAGAGATGACATCATTACTGTACACATTTTACAGAAACTGACCTGTGTGTGGTATCTGACGTCATGACTAATGAACTCGACTGGCAATAAACGAGAACAGGTTGTGACTAAATGGAGACAAAGGTTATAAACATTCATCCTTAAAGGGATGTAATCTGTAACGTGATTAATCAAGACATTCTTACCACGCCCGTTCAGATGAAACCTTGTGAATTACCACCCGTCATGTGTTGTGCAGACTAAAAATAGATCTAAGTGTTTTCTCATTCACGTCCTCAAAATAAAACCGGTCAGCTGTGTCTCATGAGCAGCGAACAAGGAGAACTTACTGTTTTTGACTTTGTGTCGCACACTTGCTCTCTAAAATGTATTCATGAGAGGGAAAAGAAAAGAAATTTAATTACAATAAAATGGCCTTAAAAGTTTGAGGAACTTGTTTCTGCTGGATGTACCTCCTTGGTGAACACGGCATCTGTTAGTTTAGGCCTCGTCTTGCCCTCGCCGTACCTTCCTTCTGTTAGGAAAATATCACAGTCAGCTTAAAGTTTTACTTAGTACAAGTGATCTTAAAATTATTACTTGGCCTCCAACCTTTTGGGGATACAAAGATTTCTTTGACAAAATTGGATGGAAACGCTCCCAATTTGCCGTTTTTCAAGCCCATCCACCATCCATCTTCAATCTGTCATGTACAGATTACAGATACATTCAAAGAAGTGCAAAATAACAGGAACAGGTAAATATTATTTTAAGAAACCGAAGTCATTGACTCCGACTATCCTGCTTGCATTCCAGATTACAAAATATGTCTTTAAACTTACTCAGGTTCGATAATAAACTACAGCAATGCTGTCATTTTTCAGGGAGAACGGCATCAACACAAGGAGTCAACTAATAAACGACAATGACATTTGTTCCCCAACGACCTGATTATAATATAATACTCAGGGTTATGCTGCTGAGCAGCTTTAGGAACTGGAAGGGTGATGCCTTTTTCTCTGAGGAACTAAACAGGATATATTTAGCCACATGTTCCTAAACTAGGACTCTTACGCCTTTAACTGACAGCAGTTTGTTTGCAGATGAACCAAAGTCAGACTTATGAGTTCAGATGTAATTATGAGTCGTGATGGGAGGGATTGGACCTCCGTACCTCTTTGATGATGTCTATAGTCTCACCAATGTGCAGCTCCAGCTCGTCTTCATTCTGTGCGCTGTATTGATAGGTGACCTCGCATTTCCTCTTCATCCTGTTCTTACCTGAAAACAACAAAAGGTCGCGTAAATAATCTAATCCCTCAAAGTCACTGTTTGTGTTTAATCTGCTTCAGTTCCATTCTCAGTGCAATAGGTTTAGGTGTGTATGTGTGTGTATGTGGTGTGTGAGACACGGATGTGGCCAGCATATATTTACAGTGTGCTTACTGGCCTCACTGTTTGAAATGATCCACCACAGTAACCACCATCTTCAACACCTTTTTTTTTTTTTTTTTAGCTCACTGAAGTTAATTATAGAAAAACCAGCGTTGTCGCCCTGTAGTTTATTTTGAGGTTTATTTTTGATTCTTTATTGCCTAAAAGTTGAGATAATTTAAGAGTCTGGTAATATTTTAAACTCTCAAGTCGCTCTGCGTTTTAAATACAACTGTTATGGCAGACGTTGCTGTAACTTTGGTTATATTTAAAAAGGCAGACGTCGGTTAACTGTGAACATTTGACTTGAAAATAGTCATTATTTATAAAAAAGTGTGAGGACCATTGAAAGTAAATGATGTTAAGCAGACTTCTTTTGTCAAATGAAGCATTTTCAAGTAATGATCTTCGACTTTTCATGCAAGAATTAGAATTAAATCTAGGTTTAATATATATTTTTAACTAATTTTAGTTGAGTGTTAGCAGCTCTTTTTTCTGTTTGAAGTATTCACAAGGAAAAAATGAAACAAGGGAGAACTTTAACTTGGCGTTATACTTTTTCGGATGCTCCGGGGCTCCCTCGAGTCTTCACCCATTAAACACACTGGTACTTGCTGCAAGGAGGGGAAACACAAGTGAGACAAGCATAAAAACACACACACTGAGAGTAGATCTCTGGGATGTAAAAACTCTACATACTTTGACAAAGTTGCTGGGAAAGATGCCTTTTTTCCCCCTCAGCTCTCCGTGTAGCCATCCTTCTTCACTGGACACGGTGACGTTTTTCACCACATCCCCCAACCTGACTGTGAGCTCGTCGCTCATGTTGCTCTCGAAGTCGACCAGCACCAGCACCTCTGCAGCAAATCCACAAATGGGGCAGAAAATCAGACTGGTTTTCGCAAAGGCTGGTGCCTCACAAGTGATGCTTCCTGACGTTTCAAAACTAAGACTAAGCTCAGACCACTGGAGGCTACGCTGAAAGATACAAACTGACAGTGAAAGACTCTGAAGCTGTCTTTGGTCACCAGTTAAACCAGATTCATGTCTACATTTTCAAGCAGCAAGAATAGAATTTAGAGATTTAACAGGATAATTTAAAAAAAATATGTCAGTGAGACACTTCTTAGAGAAATACATCATGTTCATTCAGAGCTGTGCAGTAGTATTTGTATGCCATTCCAAAACTTTATACTGTAATTCAGCAGTGGTCCTAGACACACTCGGCATTTTCTTGTATTTAAAGTTTAGCAACAAAATACAATGACCAAATTAAGACATTTAATTGGTTTATTAGCAAAGCAGACTCACCCATGGTTGTTTGAAATTGTTCCTCCTCTAATTAATCTGTATTTCCTTCAGAAAGCAGCAAACAAAAGCCCAAGTAGAAGAACTGAAAGCCTGTTCTGTTGTCTGACAGAGCGATATGGAAGCCAAGGCCCTTCTTCCTCCTTGTCAAACATTACCATTGAGCAACTTTTCCTTAGGCGAGTCATGACAAGTCAGCAGCAAGGAGTAGGCCGGGCTACAGAGCTGCAGAGGAGGTGGAGAGACACTGAGACAAACAGGTGAGACAGGTTTACAATGAGAGAACCAGGGTATCATGAGGGACTGTCATGATGCATGACAAAAAAAAAAAAACACTTTCTGCTTTATATTGGAATACAAGTGACTGAATGAGTGAATTACATTTTAGTCCTTCTCTTTTTCTTTCTTAAGTCTGTAAGTCTATTTAAGGTGTCATATTTTTATAGATTTTAAACAACACCAACTATAGTTTTGTAAGCACAAGTGTGTGTTAAATTTGAACCTGTTTCAGATTGTCTACCTTTCAGGCAGGGATGTAATAAGTTACCAATTTGTTCCACAGCTCAGTCGATGACCCCAAACATACATCAAAAGTACCGACGCAATAATTTAGTTTCAGCTGGTCGTGCTTTAAAGCATTTATGTAGACATGTAGGTATAAACGTATGTTTTCCTGCACAAACTGTTGCATTTTATCCACATGCAGCTGGATGAAAAGAAAAGCCAGAAATGAGCACAATGACATGTAAATGTGACAAGTGGAGCATATCAAAGTAACAGAAACATTTCAGGGGGTGGAGATTCTGGTCAGCTTGACTCATAAATTGTGTAATCATTTCCTACAATGAAACTGACAATCGTTTTTTTTCTTTCCTTTGATGTTTTATGATCCAATTTTCAACATTTTTATAAATTTTTGAAGGATAACTGCTAACAGTTGCACTGTGCTATATTCTTTTGCATATATTTAAGGCCCCAAACATTTTGTTATTTTAAATATTATTTTAACCTATGTTTTTTTTTTTTGGTGGATTCTGTTTGGTGGTGGTTTTAATCACACGTATTGACCTACATTGTGAGACACTGCAAGGAAGTAACATTCATGTGTTGGTCTTTCACTTTCCTTGAAAACTCAAAGCTAACAAGATAACGAGCTTGCTAGCTTCTTTTCATGCTGTCTCATTTTGGTGGAGATTAATGTGTGCCCACATATTAACTTCAGACTAATTACAGCTAAGACTCTTAGCACCCATTGATAGCAAATAAATAGTTAAAAATGTATCAAATCTAGTATTTAAACTAAAGCCCATTCGATATATCGGTAGGGCCAATATTTCAGGCTGATATAGGCGTTTTGTGGACATATCGATATTGGTGATAATTGGCCCATAATAGGCCAATGTAAACACTTCTAATTACCCCTAAAAAATTGGGAACGTGATGTGTCCTTACTTGCAAATGACATAATTTTACAACGTATCCAGCAGAGGGCGCATGAAGACTACATGGCCTTGATGCACACTTGACTCTATAGCACAGCCAAAGCAGGGAACAACTGTGTAGCATTTTTTTTTCTAAACAGAGCATAGTAAGTTTATTGTAACTTTCATTCAACCTTTATTTAGACAGGTAAATCCCATTGACCCTCGAGGACTCATTTACAAGAGAGACCTGATTTCAACAAAGAATGGACAACAGCGACAACAATAGACAGTTGTAAAAAAGGCATATAAAACTGATCTGTAAAATAAAAATAATCAACAATAATAATTTATCTTCAATCCTCTAACCTGCTTGTCATTAGCTACGTGCCTCTCAAGCTAGCAAGCTAATGTTTAGCATAGGCTATTGCATTGCAAAACTTTGTCCAGAACAATAAATCTAACGTAGAGGTAAAATATATCTGTGTTAGTAACGCTATATTTTTCATCCTCAATGAAATGCATTGTTTGTCTGAAATATTAACTTCTCTGCAAAGAAATAAAACTGCAACTGTGGCATTCTAATTTTTTTTATTCAACCTTTATTTAGACAAGTAAATCCCATTGAGCCTCGAGGACTCATTTACAAGAGAGACCTAATTAAACCTTCACCATACATGACTAACTGTTGAAACAATTAACAGGGAAGAGAGTATCTTTGTTAAATTTATATTTGTGTAACACACTTGATAACTTAATGGTGAATAGTGGAGGATAGAAAATGTGAAAACATGTTAGGAAGACTGTTTCAAGGCTTCAAGTGCTAAAACAGGTTTAAAAGTAGCTGTTTACAGTGATCCCTTACCTATTGCAGGGGTTACGTTCCAGAGACCCCTGCAATAGGTGAAAATCTGTGACGTAGCGACGTTATATTTATTTTATTATTTATATTTTTTAAGGCTTTATAAACCCTTCCGACATGTCTACAAACCTTCCCCACTCTTATTAACCTTTGAATATGAATTTATGAATTAATGAATTTAGCAGCGAACCCAAAATTTCAAGCAGACACAGTGCATATCACCCACCACCTTGCATGTCAAAGTTTTAAAGCAAGATTTTGCATGATTTTGTTAGGGCTTGTATATGATGGAGATGACTCTCAGCTACTACCAACTGTTTGTAAAACTAAGTTATAATCATTTTTGTTTGATAGGGCTGATTAGTTGCAGTCGTTATTTTAAATAAGGTTGACTCAAATTAAACTGCTGTAGATGTACATCCAATAATTACTTTGTGAGAGTGTTTAATAAATCGGTCCAGTGGTTCATGGGATATTTTGCTAACAGACACACACAAGCAATTGTATAACTGCCTGACTTAGATGGTGATAAGTGGTTAAAATATTACAACAGAGGAGCAGGATTTTATTATTTTGTTTATTTAGATCTTCTTAAATTCTCCATGACACGTGTACTTTTAATTTTCCACTCCCCTATATTTTCTAGAAATGTATAGTACCAAGCATAGATTTATTTTTCAAACACTGAAATACCATTTCATCTACCGATTAACATCTAAAATGTAGTTGGTAGTGAAGTTAATGTGCTGTTGATTATTTATGACATCTGTTTAAAAATCAGCTGAAAAAGACGAGACTAATTTATAATTGAGGATTTAAGAAATCCAGTTTGAAGAGGACAACCAGTTTAGGGTTTTACTCTAAACCAATCTTAATTTAAACAGCTGACACTGAATGTTCTGTACTTTTACGCAGAGCCACACCTTATGGTACTTCTTTTTCTGCTTCCAAGAAGTTGGACATTCCCGTTATTTTTTCAACAGTTCACGAGGAATAAATTTTCTGTCATTGAGAACTGTTAAATAAAATGTCCAATGTCCAAATAAAATCAGAAATTACCTTTTTAGGAAGGTTTAAAACTTGTTTGGCTTAAAGTATAAGACTTTAAAGTGGATTCTGTGGAAAAGTTTAAAGATCTTGTCTTATTTGCTGTAGCTAGATTATTGGTCAACCTCAGTTTGCCAAACTTTGTCAAGTTTGGTTTCTGGCGGGACCAACGAGCTAACGGTCAGTCAGAATAACATCACTTCCAGAGTGGGTAAAATGGCAAGAGTCTCATACGAGTGTGAAAAGTTCATGCAAATAGTGTTTTTAGAAACCTTTACAGTGTGGGAATTTTGCTGGAGACTGTTATTAGTAGAAGTCCGTCCATCCATGGACAACCTGGGGGTGCGATAGATGAAGCTTTTGTCCTTGAGTACTCATGTCCCAGGAGAAATTTGATAGTCAGCCTGTCTCGGAGGCTGTTGGGAGTCAGATTAGATAAGCTTAATATTTATTTTTCTTCAGGCAGACAAATTTTTTCTTCAGCCTTGAGTCCATCTGGGCATTCTGGTTCCGAAAAAGCCTAATTGTGGAATTTAATTTCACTGATCCATGCTATGAGTCTCCTTCAAGGTCGAATCCACCACGCTGACGTGTCCCAGAAGCCGCAGGTGGTCTGCGATTCTCAATCGCCTCCACCTTATGGTTAAGCACGTAGACCAGACGATTTAAAGTTCCCACAGCGAGTACCAGACCTTCACACTGACTCGGAAGCTTTCCCATGGCCAAAACTGCTCCCGCTGTCTTCTTCAAAAGTCGATAAAACAGAGCCCCGCCGATGCCAAAAAGCAGAGTCCCTGCTATCATAAGTCCAAATATGTAAACGTCTTCAAACATCTTCTTGAGACAGTACTGTAATGCACATCGATTGCCACACTCCCCACGAATCCATGACGTACCCCACAGCGTGAGTCTCAGCTGGACATGCCGGTTCCCCAGGACCTTGTCGCTTTGATGAAAAAATCTTATCAATAGAGTTGAACGCCCACGATACCAAATCCATAATCTTCTTAATTTATGTTCGGGAGATGAGACCCAGGTGCTTCAGACAGACAGAGAGCAGAGCAGGAGGAAGGAAAAAAACGGGGGAGGAGAGACAGAAGCTGCCACCTCGATAAGAGCCTGGGAGGAAAGACCAGCTGATCCTTCGAATTAAGAGGTATGCAGAAAAAAAAAAAAGGCTTTTTAAGGGTTCACAGGACAAAAGAGCGCAGCAGGGAAGCGGGTTGGGGGGGGGGGGGGGGAACGCGTCTGGTTCCCCCGGAGAATAGAAGGAGAAAAAAAAAAGGAGATGGGCAAACTCCCATGACCCCTTGAGGACCCTAGTGAGGGTAAAGAGCTGATCCAGTGTTCCACGGCCAGAACAGAACTCGCATTGTTCCTCCTGGATCTGAGGTTTGACCAATGGTCGGACTCACTTCTCCAGTACCCCTGAATAGTCCTTACTAGTGAAGCCAAGGAGAATGATGCCCCTGTAATTGAAGCATACCCTCTGGTCCCCCCTTTTTTGAAGAGGGTAACCACCACCCCCGTCTGCCAATCCAGTGGCACTGCCTCTGATGTCCACGTGACATTGCAAAGGCATGTCAACCAAGACAGCCCCACAACATCCAGAGCCTTAAGGAAAATCTGGTGAATCTCGTCCACTTCCGGAGTCCTGCTGCCACAAAGCTTTTTAGCTACCTTGGCAACCTCAGCCACGGTTATGGACAGAACAACCTCAAAGTCCTTTGACTCAGCTTCCTCTGTGGAAGAAGTGCTGGTGGGATTGAGAAGGTCTGAGAAGTATTCCTTCCATCTTCCGACGACATCACGTGTTGAGGTCAATAGCACCACACCTTTACTGAACACAGTGTTAGTAAAGTGCTGCTTTCCCCTCCTCGGCCACCTGATGGTTTGCCAGAATCTCGGCTTGACAGCCTCCCAAACAAAACTGACAGGGGTGTTTAAGTTTCTAAAATGGCTTTTGCACTAACTTTAGTGAATTTGAATGTATTCGAGTCTGGCGTTAAGGTGACAGTTCTCCTGTTTCTATCGAACCTCGCTCTGACCAACTGTTAGCTCATGTATTCAGTCAGAATCTTAAACAAATGAAGGCTATCTACTATATATTTTAATATATTTATAACTCATTAAAAAGTTAATCTTTTTGTTTTCTTTTAGACCAGTTCAAGTGCTAGATTATTAGGCTTGTTTGAAGCGAACTACTATAAAATAAAGGATGAATCAAGAAGTTTTCTCAGAAATGTACATTTTTATTTTCCATTTCTTTATTTAATGGTCATTTCAGTTTTGCAGTTAACTGATGATGTTTAACCTAAACATACCCTGTTGTATTCACTTTCCAAAATCAGTGTGTTTTGGTTCAATAAGACACATAAAAATGCAATCTTCAAGATAATTATTGCTTTAATTTAAAACCTCAATGAAAAACACAGTGACAACAAGAAAAGAAACAATATTCCCAAAGAAGGCCATTTTTAAAGAGTTAAATGGTCATTTCAATTTGTTAGCCTGTGTCGTGTACAAGATATATATATTTTTTTATCCCAAACACCCACACCCCCCCAAAAAAAAACCAGAACACCAAGAACAAACGAGTATTATACAAACTCTCTTTTTGTGTGTGTTTCTTTCAAACTACAGACAGCAAATCAAGCTTTACTCCGGTTATAATGTTTACACAACGTACCTAACTATAATTTGGGTCAAAAAAAATGTTAGGAAAATATTTCAACGCTTAAAGTAATAAAGACAAAAATTAATTTCCTACAAAATCTCAACTCCAGTTTTTCCATTTGATAAAACAAACAAAAAACATTAAATGTCCTTTGACAAAAAAAGTCACTTGTCAATTTTATTATTGCGGTGTACATGTTCAAGATCTAACTAAACGAGCATGTTAAATGTACAAGTAGTCAACCTAAGACTGTTCTTCTATTTCCAGTAGGTGTTGATGTTTGGTAATCATGGGCAGCTGTGTAACCTTTGACCCTGCAGAGTTTGGTCCCACTGTCAGATCAGGGTCATTTGATGTTTATTTATTTACTTATTTACTAAAATTAAAAGTACACTGCACTTATTGTGATTTTGATCAAAATAAGGCACCGCTTTTTAAAATGTATGGATGGAAACGCTATAGGCCATGTTATTCCAAAAAAAGGCATTTTGTTACTTTCAAACAAATGTTTCTGACTATGATGTAAAAAAGACTTTTACTGATTCAACATACAAAAGCCATTAAGGACTTTACTTCACCTTAATGAGAAACATCTAAAGAACATAAAAATGCTTCATGAAAGAACACAAAACAAAAACTACTTTATAACTTACTATTAAACAGTGCTTCTACTAGTCACAAAGGTTATCCTGATGTATGAGATGGCTATTATATCGAGGGAAATTATCTTGCTCTGAAATGGAAGCGTTGATTGTAGATGAAACTGTTCCTTCTGACCCTAAAAGGACATAAAGTATTAAGATTTGTCATGATTGTTTCACTGCTCAAGTGTTCTGTCCATCAATATCTTCCTCCTTGTGGTCCTGATCTGCCTCCTTTCTCTCCTTGCCCCCTTGCTCTCGGTTGACCTGGAACTTATCACGTGTCCATTTGGGGCTAATGGTATTGGCACTGCCAGTAGCCTTTCGGATGATGAATCGGGCTCTCCCATGAGGAAGGCTTCCCTGACCTCTTTCTTTGGTGTCCATCCATGTGGACGCTCTGTCATCGTGCTGTCAAGTTACAAAGAAGAGGACGCATGTCAAGGAACAAGAAGGATGGATATGAAGAAGCTATACTCACTGACCACTTTATTAGTCATACCTGTTCAATTACTTGTTACAATAAATAGTCAGCCAATCACTCAGCACCTACTTAATGTATTCTAAACGTGATGAACACAACTTCCTGAAGTTCAAACCGAACATCAGAATGGAGGAAAAAATAGACTTAAGTGACGCTGAATGTGGTGTTTGCTGGTGCCAGATGGGCTGCTCTGTGTATTTCAGAAACTGATGATTTTCATCCATAATCAGTCTCTTAAGGTTTACAGAGAATGGTCTGGGAAAGGAAATATAACAGGTCCAACCTTAAAGCAGATGGGCTACAGCAGCAGAAGACCACACTGTGTGCCCAAAGAACAGGAACTGAGGCTAGTTTCCACAGACTCACCAAAACTGGACAATAAGAAATAAAACAATCATTGCCAGTTATGATCAGTCTCTGTAGAAATGAGCTAGCAGTTTTTGAAATACCCAGACCAGCTGGCACCAACAACCATGATACTTACATTCTCGATCTTACCCATTCTGATACTCTGAATTTCAGCGTCATCTTCACCATGTCTAGATACCTACATGTACTGAGTTGCTGCCATGTGATTGTCGGTTTATGTTAATAAGCAGTTGAACAGGTTGGCTTAAAGTGGCCGGTGAGTGTTCAAGAGGTTCCATCTATGGACCTTAGCCAGTGAAAAGTGGGTGAATCTGGAAATCAACCATACCAAGTAGTATGCTTTGCTCTTGTGAGTAAATTTAGGATCCCAGTCTTCACTTTCTGGGTGTCCCACCCTGTTCATTTGAGTACTGTATGAACCGTTTCCTTGATTCCTGCCTTTGGTCCAACCCCTTCCACGGATTTGTATTTTCTGAAACTGGAGGAAAAGACGGGATGATTTCAAAAAGAACTGACACTGACCAAACTGCGCTCCCGAACAAACTCACTAATCCTCCTGGCGGCCGCGCTCCTTCAGAACTTCCTGGTGATTCCCTTTGATCGAGCTGTGCCTTGTTAAAGACGTCATCCTTCACCTCAAAACTTTCATGAGGTAAGCATTCATCTTTTTGGGAATTGGAAGACGACGAAGAGGAGGATGAACTGGAGCGGGAGCGTTTCTTGTAATTTTTTCTACAAAGAGAATGTAAATTCGTACAGAAAATATGACAATACTTTAAATGTAAATAGCTTCTGTGAAGATGAATCAAAACATTTAATATCAGTCGGTTGCACATACTTTGGTATCTTGCAGTGTTTTGAAAGGTTTTCCTTGGATCTCCCCCTTTCACCATCTGAGGAATCCCCAGCATCTTTTCCTAGATCCTGATTGTAATTTTTATGATGCGTGGAATACTTTTTACGACGCTCAATGTCCAAGCGGAGGTCCATGTGGTCATCTTTAACTTTTTCTCCGGCATCCTGAATAAATCAAAACAAAAATGACAACGTCATGGATAGACTTCGGATCAGCGTGCAGATGCTGTCTGCTCTCTGCAAAGCTGCTGTTGAGACTAAACAGTGAAGTCACTGGAGAAGTGTGGAAAAACTCGTATGGGCTGGAAAAATCGAACAATGCCGAGAGATATTTAGATCTCGCGTTTTCTCTTCAAATACGCTTACGGAAAATGTTTTTCTTTAATTCTACTTCAATACAGCATGAAAATCAACATGGAAAACAACTAATTTACCTCAGCTGAACAATCAATCATCAACATTAAATCAGATTTATTTATTAAAGTTGTCTTGGAAGACTTTCTGACTGGTGCATTCAGGGACTTGTAAGATTTCAATTTCCTTGACGGAGTCTGGAAACAGCAAGTAGCATCATCAACTTCAAAAGTATTTAAAATGTTTTACAAAACTTCTACCAATTCTAAGCCTCAGTTTAGGGTCCAAGTTGCTTTCAGGCTTTTTCAAAATAAAACCTTAAGGCCAAAAAGTCCTTTCAGAACAGATAAGCTGTTTTTTTGTTTGTTTGCTTTAAACAAGTTTAAGCTCTTTAGAAGTTGATTATCGCTCTGAAACAATACATTCCTAATAGCTATTCTAGAAAAACAATAAAATGTCTACTTTATTAAATTTGATATTGTTTGTATAAAGTCAATTCACAGAATCTTATTAAATACAGTCCTATTCAACCCAGCTATGATCCAATTAAGTCCAAGACATACAAAATACGTAGTCTGCTAAAAAAAAAAATTTTCTATTTCAATCCAGTTCATTCAAATACAAATTCAGTTCGTGTCATTTCAGTTGCAGATAAATAAAAAAAATCTCAAACTCTGACATAAACTTTGGGAATTCATAAAAACACAGTGTACTTGCACTTTAAGTCTTAAACCACCTCTATGGCTTTTTTAACAACAGTGAAAACAACATGCTGTTCATGCCGATTGGATTTTACTCTTTTTTTCCTTTGTGTAGTCTTAGTCTTTGCATTTACTGGCTGAACTGGTGGGTTTAACGGAAGCGATAAAGAGATATGATGATGTGAACTCAAAGTTTAATGGATAGTTCAGATCGTGGGAAGTGAAAGGTTGTGAACAATGAACTTACTGGTAGTAAATAGCTCTTTAAACTACCTCAGCTTCATGAATTAGCGATTACTTCTGACTGGATCTGACAAGCTAACAGCTCAGGACCAAAAAGGATTGCAAGGCTCTTAAAACTATCTCAATTGATCAATTTATAGATATTTGTGTGAATAGCATTTTATAAACTACATTGCTGTCAGTTTTGCATTACGAGGTTATTTTGGCTGTCATGTTACAATTTTCCTGCTGTATGTATGTATATATATATATATATATATATATATATATATATATATATGACCATGTAATGCAAAGTTAACAACAGAGTTAAGGTTTTTAAATGGCGTTTGTGAAAAACACGTAAATCTTTTTTAGACTGGACTTGTTTTAAGACGGCAATCCACTTTGGTCACGGCCCTGCTTGGAGACACTCGATCCGGTTAGATCTAAACAGAATTTCTGCAAAGTGAGGTCAGTCACAGAACTAGCTACAACAGTTACAATAGTATTTGTTCATAACCTTTCCACAGAACTCTGCACTATCTCTTTGAGCATGTGAATATTAGCACATGTGCAGAAAGTGTTGGTTATTTTATTGTTGTTGTTGCTTTGGATTTTGGAGAATACTTACAAAGACATTTAAGAGTCCTTTGGACACTTTTGGCACAGATGCTTCCACTCCTGACCATATTTGATTTATTAGCCTCAGTCACGCCCACAATACAAACAGTTCACCTTGTGAGGCGATACAACAAACAAGAAGGTCAAAGTCCCTTTTTTTTTCTCTTTTAGACTTTGACCATCTCCTTTCAGGAAATGTCACAGGCTTTAAAAGGGTGTAGTCTAAAGACATCTGGCTTGCTCTCTTGTCTTTCCAACATATGTCATACTGCAAAGTGTTCAGTCACCTTGTAAGTCCCATCCTCTGAGCTTTTCATCGCCTCAAAAAGCTGAGGGTGTTTCCTAAAAGCACTTGGTGACACATCAATTCTCCTGTGAGATAAAAACAGTTAGTTAAATATTAAGTTTTTACACAAACCATAACCACCACCAAAAAAAAAAACCCAACAACACGGAACCAGAGAAGCAACAAAAAAGGACAAAAAGCAAAGCTAAACCGCTGCGAAACAAAACTGACCTCCACCAAGCATGTGAACTAACCAGACCATGGCAGTCTGTTGATTTTATTTTTTTTAGATGGGAAAGGTGAAAGAAATACCTGACAGCTGTTTAAAAAAAAGACGTGAAGCCACAGCACACTGAAGGTGAGAGGTCACTCAATAGGTGATTCTACCTGTGTATCTCTGGGCTTTTTCTTGGCTTCATCGTTTCCTTCTTTGCTGCATGTCTTTGGTACAAGGTGAATCGCTCGTTCAGAGTCATGCCAGAGGACGGAAAGTGTTGGGCTGAGAGGGCAAACGGTAAAAAAAAATCAAAGCTATGGATATACATTTATTTACTGGACTGTTCTGGGTAATAATATCTTTACTGTCAAGTTTTCTTCACTGAGGTATGCAGATTTTTAGTGTGTAACTTGTACTTTAACTGACTGGATAGTATATTTGAGCATATGTTTGTGTAACATGAGTGGCTGAAGCAAATATTTTTTTAGAAAATGCGATTCTGAAAAGTGGATGCCTTTGTTTCTTCGTGAAGAAACTTGCATGAAATGGTGCAGAAATGAAGAAGGCGTGACTCACCTTTGACGTGGTGAACAATGGTGACAATGTGTTGAGCGAACAGTTCAGAGGGGCTCTTCTGTGACTGGGCAACCTGAACATGTTGAAAGATGGAGCGAAACTCCTGCTGCTTTTTTGAGGACTGCACAAGGTCCTGGGACAGCTGCCGCTCTTCAGCTAAAATATCCGTAGAGCTGAAACGATAAAACGCAGTCTTTGGTTTGGCACTGCTTTTATTTTGACAAAAAAAAAAAATCTGATTACACCCCTGTTTCTTCAAAGGATGGGATACTGTGCCAACTAGAAATGGAAGCAATACTTGGCAACTCAATTTGAACCCATTTTGTGGATGAATTGTTTCAGTATTAGTGTTTCTAACTGAGCTAAATTGGCTGGTTTTCTCAAATATGTAACGTAACATAACTTAAAAGTCCAGATAATCCAAATAAAGCTGTATGATCTTTAGGCCTTCAGGTGGAACTTGAAACTCTCAAGAGCACCGTAAAGTGTTGCTGCAGCCACAAAAGGTAAGTTCTTGTAACGTGTTCTATTTGTACACGGAAGTTAGAATTTTCCAAGTCCTAAGTACATTGGAATGGATTGTCCATCCAAAGTCAACATTCCACTTACAAAAGTTGGAGATTCCTGACCATCTGCGACCTTAAAATCCAATATGGCTGACCGCTGAATGAAATATTGTGACAGTAATAAACTTTTTTTGTAACTTTTGTTCATTTATATCCAGTCACACGTACAGTGTAGTACTTTCGCACCACTATTAGTGACATTAATTGTTGACATTACTTGTATGAATTCACAGAATGCAGAGGAATCCAATGTTATTGTTTTATGTTGCTAACGGTAATTAGCCTGATCATCAAGTATAACCATAAATACAACCAAAAGAAAAATAAAAGCAAATCCTACTCATTGTCCAAGTTGCAACACAATAAAATGAAGTGGGTCTGACGACATTCCCAGATCCAAGTTTCGACTTTCAAGGCCATTGAAATGCTTCCTATTTCTACTGTAGCAATAACAAGAAGTATTTACATGTCAACATACAGGGGAAAAATCTGTTGACTTAATTCTGACTTGTCAAGAAAAACTAAATGAGTAAACACTTTTTATATTTGGAGGGAAAAACCGTGCTTATTTTAGCAAGACAAAGATCGTTTTCACTCAACAATACAGGTTTTTATTTTGTTTTTGTTTTTTTACTACTGGCTTGATATGAATGACAAAATAATGACTGAACTGTTCAAAAAAACTTGGCTTCAATCTACAATAGTCCCTTGCTACTTTGTGGTTCGACTTTCACGGACTCACTCTATCTTCCGAGTCGGAATAGAACAGAGTCGGACCGGAATGAGAGCCGCTGCTGTTCTGCAGAGCTAGTAAGTAAAATTTAGTAGCTACATATAAGTATGTTGTTAAAATTGGTAGGTTTAAGAGTTTAGAACATTGAAAGAGTGTGGGATGAGTTTCTAAAGCCTTACTACTTCTACTACTACTAAAATAAACTACTACTTACTACTACTACTACTACTTGTGTACATAATTTCGTTCCATTTCATGTACCACTTGGGATGGTAATAACAATAAATTTTACTTGAACTTGGACTACTGTATCCCTACTTCTTGTTTTTTTACTTATCGTGGAGGAGATTTTAACCAGCTAGTTCTAGTTGTTAAGACGTAATGCAACACAGTAATAAACCTGTCTGTCCAATCATGCTGCTGCTATCAAATCTAAATATTAGTTTGAATATTATATACATGTTCTTTGTTGCATTTTATTTGGAATTTACATTTTACACAGCATTGCAAACTTTTTCTTTTTAAAAACAAGGGCTGGTGATGACAATTACAAAATACTTGAATAAATCTTATGGCACTTACCTGGTAAGATTTTCTCCAATATAATCCATGCTTATGTTAAACTTTGCTTCCTGTTTCCTTGAGGAAATAGGAGGCGAGTCAACCCCTCGAGCTGTAAACGACTCTCTGTCAGACTTCTGCCTCTCCGAACATTGATCAGGTGGAGATTTTGCCGTCTTTCTCATTTTACAGGTCACTTTTGGAGACAGTTCTTCCAGTTTGCTTGCTAACTCTCTCTTAGCAAAAGCAGCAGCCATGGCTCTCTCCTGCTTTTCACTCAGATATGTCTCCTCCATCGGGGAGTCGAGCTCACTCTGTTCAAACTGTGAGTAAGCAGCATTTTGCCACTTGCTGAAGCACTTTTCAAACAGTTTCTGGGCTGAGTGAGTGACTTTGCTCTTTTGTTTAGAGGTCTCGTTGTCATTATGCCATTCTTTGTGAAGGGATTTTGAAGATGGCTTAAATGTCATCTCATCATCCTCCTCTACCTCAGAAGACAGAAACGGGGAGGCTTTCAAAAAGCTGTTCAGAGACATTTCCCTTTCAGTGTTTTCTCTGTGCTTTTTGGATACAAAATCAGAAACGACTGCTGAGGCTTTCCCGTTGCGTTTATCTTTTTCAGTATCCACATCGTTTGCCTCTATTTTCTTCCCGTTTTCCAAAGCACATTTAGCCTTTTTGTTGTGCTCCTCGAGAAACCTAAAGAATGACAATTGGATTAGGAGCTGTGCTCATCAAGCCACGCTGCTTAAAAATGTCAATCATTGAAATATAAATCTTTAAATAACAAAAATGAGAATTTAGGTATGTGCGTCATCTATCAAGACAGACAGAATATCACAATAATCATAATTTCAAAGAAAACTCTTAAGCAGATGTTTAAAATTCATCATAGCAATCAGTTTGCCTAAATCTCGCAAAGGAAATAAAATGTCTAAAAAAAACATTAAAATGCTGTTTAGTGAAGAAAATTAATGAGAATAGAAATGGTCTTACTTCTTGAAAGCTATGGAGATTGCTTTTTTGTCTCCATCTGGGAAATCCTCAGAGAAGAAGTCAAAGCTGGGCAGCATCGGATTCAGACCGTCACTTGAGGCCTTATTGGCTGAGGATGAACCAGATGCCTTCTCCCACGTGGGGGAGCTATTGCAGGCGTTGGTGGTTTTTGTGGGACTAGACTGAACAGCAGTTTGGCTGCTCTGACCAACGATAACAGCAGTGCTGGCCACAGGACTGTTTTTCTTTGGACTGCTGCAGTCTGTCAGGCCCTGCCAGGTCCTCTCAGTTTTCTCACAGTCTGCACCTTCTTTAGCATCTCCTGCGAGTAACCCAACGTGCTCCTCATCCCCACCTCCCTTTTGGACTTCGTTGGAGGCCAGGTGCTGCTCGTTGACTTCTTTAATGTTTGGATTAGCCACCATCGAGGCTGGCCGACTTTTTGGAGAAGAGTGAGATGACGAGGAAGAACGCTGTGAGTGTCTGGATAAAGGAGAAGAGGACCTGTCAGAGTGGTGAGAGTGACCCTGAGGGGGGCTTCCTGAGCGTTTCTGTACATTGTGCGATCGTCCTCGTGAATAATTAAACTGCTGCTGCTGCTGTTGTTTTTGAGGATATTGTTTGTAGTTCTTCCAGTTTGGGCGGTAGTTGCCATTGTTGTTGTTGTTGTTGTTGTAGTAATATCCACCACCTCCACGCTGAAAGCGTCCACGGAAAAACTGGCCCCTTCCACGGCCCCGGAAGTTATAGGGCCTCCGGAAGCCACGGTTATACCCTCGGAACTCCCGGTTGTTTTGGTACGCCTTTGGATATTTCTTCTCCCGGTTATAAAACGGAGAATGAGATCTTGACCGAGACCTAGAGCTATAAAAAAAAAAAAGAGGACAGACAGAACAGAATGTGGTGAATATCCTGATGCATGCTCAATAATCCAGGTAGAAAAATCCAAAAAAGTTCAATCTGGTCCTCTGGACATTCAAAAAAACCAAAAAACAATGATGACAAGAATGTGGTGAAGTTTCAAAATGATGCATATGTGAATGGCTGACATAATAAAATTTAAAAAAAAACAGAACCCTTGACTCTTACAGTGACAGGATTTAGTCATTTTGTTATACTGTAGGAACATTTCTATAGCATGCTTCAAGTCTTCATATCACTGAAAATCAATGGAACATTTTTGAAAAAACATATTTTACTCTGTAGGGGAGAGAAAGAGTGATGCCCCTGAGCACAGGGTTCATCAAGTGGTTTGAGTAGGAAGGATACAGTGTGCAAATCACATGTGTTCTTAGCACTTACAAGATCTCAACTCATATGAATTCCTATTGAAGACTTCTGATCACCACGTTGAACAAGAACATTTCAACCACCGTCGTAAAAACATCAACAGAGGTCACTTCTTTGGGAAGACTGGTCCATAACTCCTGGAGCATTTCAAAGAAGTGTATAATCATTGCCACAGTACTAAAACTGCTCTGGCAGCAAGTAGAGGCCCAATGCTTTGCAGTTTTTTCATTTGAATCTGCCACCTGTTGGTGGGTCATACATAGTTTCTGGCCCACATAATGGAAACTGCAGGAAAGCACAGGCAGATGCAAGTACACATACTTCATGTGGTATCCAACTCAGCTGTGACTGTTAGGAGACTAGTTGGTGACTCAAAATTGTGAGAAAATGCATGAATTTCAATTTTAGTCTCACTGAACTCTTGAGCGTTTGCAACCGAGTGACCAACAAGCCATGTGGTCGTGTTTTGAGCGGGAAGTTCTTGACAATCACTGCCTATTTTTGTGTGCATTGCTTGTAAAATTGCATTCTTGGCCGTACACATTATTTTGTTGCCCACCTCCTCCCACCTCAGCTCGTTCCGTACCCACCTTAGCAACAAAAACGTGTTTGATTTTATTTACTGGAGTACACTTTTGAAATGACGATTGGGAGCAGTTTTTCAGTACTGTATTTTTTGGCCTATAGGTCACGTTTTTTTTGCTTAATTTGCATGCCCTGCGACTTATGGGTCAAAGCGACGTATTTATGGATTTTTTCCCATATTTATAAACCAATTTCTGGCTGAGATATGACCGTTTTACCGAGTTACCTCTGCTTGTCAGACAGGCCCCCTTCCTCTCGGTTTTCAAGTCCCATTTAAAAACTCACTACTATTCAGTAGCATTCAACACCAGAGGATCTATGTTTTGAACCTGTACGCTCCACACTGGTTTGTCGTCATTATCTGCATCGTTTTTATGTCTATATTTCTGATTTACTTCATTTTGTATTTTGCTTTGTGTGTTACCTGTTGTTCTGTCTGTACAGCACTTTGGTTGGCCTTGTCGCTGTTTTAAGTGCTTTATAAATAAAATGGTATGGTTTTCATTCATTCCGACTGCAAAATAATTTGAACAGTACCATTTTCAGCTACTAGATGGCAGCAGAGTAGTAGTATTAAGGCATCCCGTTGTATAATGTAATAGGTAAACTGGCTATAATGACAAATTCAAAACCGTTCAATACAAAAACTGGACTTTATTACTTTACTTTATTGTATTTGTCTTGAACTTTTTTGAATTTACCATGTCCTGGATGACTGAGAATCATCACCAGCTATTAATGACACAATCGGCTTGCCACAGTACCCCCCCATCTTCGTTCTGCTCGCTGCTTGGAGCAACCCCGTCAAACCAGCTGCACCGCCCCGGCAAAATGCAGCTTATTTGACCATTAAAGTGCATTTACTAAGTACAAGTTCAACTGAGACACACCTTTGCTTTAATTTTGAGCAAACAAACAATTGTTTTAGGTGCTTTTCTTGTTAAATTTCAAAGAAATGAGCAGCGTTCGTCCTTCTTTTTTTTCCCTCCCTCTGCGCGCTCCTGGAGCACCAAGGCAGCGAATACAGCTGATAAAGTCCTTTTATTAAGCAAACGTTAGACTGAGACACACCTTTACTATAATTTCAACCACACAAATAATTGTTTTTAAGTGTTAATCTTGTTAAATTCTGGTTAAAGTCCTCCTGTGCACGCTCCCGCCGACACCATTTGGCAGTCCATCGATTTTTGGCACAACACCGGCCCACATTTCCAAGTTGTCAGTGGTGACGCGTAACAAACGCGACACATCAGCGGTGGCGCATAATAGATGCAACGTATATGACGAAGTGACATATTTATGGATTTTTCCACTTTTTTAGACATATTTGGACTGATGCCACTTATAGGGCGGTGAGACGGGTACGATGGAAAATACGGTAATTATGATTTATCATCAGTATGGTTTTTAGACATGGACATTAGCCACAAATGTTTTCTGACAGAGAAGAGTTCCCATGCAGGTAGCAGAATACAACTCTTATCTCTCCAAAAACACATTGGAAACACCCACAACAACTTTTGAACTATTTTAAGAGGAACATTGTTACACAAATGTTTTGACCATGTTGAAAACTAAAGCAACAGGGCTGCACGTCTTTACGACTCGCATGAGGAAGTGTAGAACCCTGCAAAGGACTCAAGACATCCCAGAAACATTAGGGAGAATCTGCCATTAAAGCCATTAAACAAATAGTCACGGCCCAGTGAGATACCACCTTTACATATGAGTCAATATATTTAGCTTGGCTACAAGAAAAGACTTTAAATAACCAGGTAGGCACAAAAGTTTTGATAATAAATATGTAGCACACTGAACAAAACTGCAAATGAATTAATATTTTGGGGTAAAATCACCTCTTCAAACCAAGAAAGCTTTAATGCTCCACTTACCACGCTCCAAACCTTTATTATAGCTTCAACGTATGGAAACAAAACACATTTCCTGAAACCGTACGGCACTGTAAGCATAAAATCAGTTATTTCCAGTGGATGTACATCAACTGTAAGTGACGAAGCATATGTTTGTGTATAACATCTGCGTTTCCATGTTCGGTGAGGCCCTCGAAGCAGAGAGGTTCAACAGGGTCTTTGAGCCAGGCTGCAGTTTCAGACACATCCATGCGGTGGCTCTGCTGCACTTCTGATAGTTCAGCACTCAAAGATGAAACTTTTACACAAGTTATACCAATAAACATTGTTTTCTTTCTCTCTTAAACAATATGATGAGACAAACATGCTGACTTAAGATGAAACTGCATCCAAGCACTATGCTCACGACTTTCTGTGTGGATATTTTTAAGCTAGGGAAGTTTTCAACTTTCAGCTGCACAATTATCTATTCTCTTATTGAAGGTCTTCTTAAACAGGTTTATAGAGACGATACAAAACATACCAGCTCAGTTTTCTCAGCTAAAGTTTGTGCAGAAAACAACCATGCTGCTGTTTGACTACATACAAAATGCATGCAAAGTCCTGCACAACACTATTGTAAACTGAGGCAGGAAAGGCAGTGCCACAGTGCATGCAAATACATTTTAAAGCCGCATTAATGGTCTGAAAAAGCACGTAACTCACCCAGAGCGTTTTGTCATTGGAATACAGAGAGACTGCAGCGCACCGAGCAGCGCTGCACACTCACTGAGCAACTGAGACTGTGGCCAGCTGTGGTGGAGCACTGAGTCACATGGACCGTTTGAGAATGGAAAAAAAAAAACCCTACTTGAATCCTTTTGACTCCCTCTCACATGAGCTGCGCAACAAGATACGATGAGAGTTTTAAAATAAATACTGTACTCAAACTCAAAAATCAACTTGTGTCTCAACATTTTTCAGATTTGAGCCCATTTACTTCCAACTTTTGGATTTAAAAACAGACTCGCACTTATTAAATGTAACTTGTGATCTCTGTAGACTCGGAAAGATGGGATGAGTGACTGAATGTTGCCGTTATAAAAATGAATACATCCGTCCAGCAGCTTGCATCACGTCTCATTGTTGTAAGATACTGTATGTTGCCTACAAAAAATGCTAGTTGACACAAATGGATCTTAAGAAAGCATGTAAATTTGCGTTTATGAATTATATATTTCAGTGTAAATATGTGATTTGCTTTTCTCTCCCCAGTATTTTTAAGTAAACTTCTGCTTACATAAAAGCAGACACGTGCTCGTGCTCTTCGCTTCATGTGCGCTTCACCACAGAGCTCGTTTGCACATATGCAAGGTGATGTTTCTGTAAAGCAAGCCTCCCATGCCTCCTCTTTATGCTTTCTTGCTAGAAGCAGAAGAGAAATTTCCATTTATGTAAATAAATAATAAAGTAATCTAATCTAATTTTAATATGCGGAATCCAAAAATGAGCCGCCATGTCTTTTTATTGCTTTGCCACGGTTATTCTGCCAGAAACGACAAGACACCACTGGAAGCTCCGTTTGCTTTGAACACATATTTTACACTTCAAACTCTGTTTTTTTTTTTTACTCTTGCTGAATGGATAAATACTGCCTTCTCGAGCCAAAGCTTGAAACATATTTAGATATTCCTTTTGCATGTTAAGTAACGTAAAAATGTTTTCTCAAGGCATGAAAACAGCAGCTTGTCAATCAATCTAAACTGTTTTTATGAACAGAAGCTAACTTCAGTTTTCAGTCAGACTTATAACCTTTAAATGATTTATTCAAATCAGAGCCATACTCGTAAAAAAAATGAGATGAGACGAGCGCATGCAGGGAGCAATCAGCAAATGTGGTAGCTTTTAATTTTGTGGACATTTTTCACTCAAATAAATGAGCTTTTATATTCCATAAAAATCATAATATATACAGAATTCCACGTTTTCCCCCTTTAACAAAGGATTTTCTGCACAGGACTGAGTTAAAAGTTGCACATCATGCTCAGAAACCGTGCACTCCATGAATTAAAGCATGCAGCACATATAAATATCCTTCAATTAGATTCAGTTTGATCCAGACTTATTGTGGCATCCTCAGCACCTGATCTTCACACCAGAGGTACGGTTCATACCTGTAACGATGCTTCCTGGACCGGGAGCGACTTCTGGACCGAGAAGTGGAGCGGGACCTTGATCGGGATCTCGAGCGGCTCCGAGATTTCGACATGGATTTAGTGGATCTGGACATCGCTGCAGTCAGCCCGTCTCAAACTGGCACACAAAAGTGTTACACAGACGAGTCAGGATAGCAGGGAAATAAAATAAAAAAAATACACATTTAAATAAAACAAAAAGTGGAAACTCTAAGATCATCTACTCAAAACATTTGCTAAATATTAGTCTGAATATTCAGCATAAAAACATCATGCTTTCAAGTATTCCATACAACGTAATAAAGATAAACCATTTAATTTGGACGTCCACAGCTGCTTTCAGGCCACAGCTGAGCGAACAGTGGTAAAGGAAGAAGGCGGTGTGCAGTGCAAGGCATCCGAACAGAAGTTTTATTTGGTCACTGATCATTTGCATGAAGGGTCATCTGACTGCTCGTCCGCTCCGTACAAACTAATACCAAAAAAAAAAAAAAAAAAAAAGCTAAATGTATCATAGATTTTATCTTGAACAATGTAACCAACAGGAAATGAACATCAATGGACTAAAAACTGGTTCTGTTAGACGTCAACACGTTTTTCACGTCTATCGTGAACAGATTTTATGCAACAAGTGTTTGTTCTCTGTAGGTTTATGTCTTATGCTTTAATCTAAATGTATAGCTTCACTCTTCATATTTGGGGATAAGTGTGATAGCAAGCTGTAGTTAAAATGGTACAATGTGCTTTTTTTTTTTTTTTTTTTTTTAATTTGTACGTTCTTTTTGAGGAAATGAAACTTCTTGTCAACTTAAAACGCCTTTCCTCGATACACAAGGGCGGTTTCAAAGAAGCGCTGATCTGTTTCCATGACATTTATTTGACTTGTCTGGTTTGTTGAATCTTCACCGTTAAACTCAAGCTTGACATTGGCAGAAGTTAATGTTTAAACTCTTCCATCAATCCTCTGGATTAATGGGAAAGTTTCTGGTTGCCTTTTCTGGCAAGAGCACTTGTTTGTGGGTAACGATCTGCTTGGACTTTGCGCTCTTTGCACATACTTTCTGTTTAATCAACTGCTCCAGCTCATCATTTGTAGATCCCTACAACTGGACGCCACTACAGTGAGGGTTTGTTTCTACGTCCTGCTGAGGTCCACAGAACATAATTTGTGGTAAATGATCCTCAGCGCATCAAGTAATTGAGCTCTTTTATTAAAGTCATCTTCAGGGACTTTGGAGGGAGGAAACTGCAGCGTACACGTGACAGAGATTTAAAATTCATCCCAGTCAATCCCATGAAAATCCTGCTGTGCACCCTTAACCGGAGCAGTTCTGTTGTCTCCTCCCTTCATCCTTGTGCTGGGTGAACTTTCCGCTCTCCTCATTCTTGGCAGATGGTCGTTTTTGGCTTTCAGGGAACGATTTCCTGAAGGCAGCCCTCAATAAACAGTCACTTCAGCTTACTGTGCACTTTTCAAGACTGGCATTCAAATGAAGCCCTTCGCAGCACCAAGTGGTCAAAGGGTAAACTCTGAACGGTGACGTCAACTTATTTTAACATCACTGTCGGAAGACCTCTTTAGCAGCCAGAGTCCCGTGCATACACATACTGTATACGACGATATGTGCTTATGCATCTACAGCTTAATTCATGGTGGTATCTCTTTGGGCTGAGACTGGTTTGCAAACAGAATCACGAGGGAGTCTCAGGAAAGTCTTGCAACGTTCATGGTGGTTCTCATTTTCCTCGTTTTGACTCAGTCTTGCAGTTTCACCAATTGAATTTGGAACATGTTCAAAAAAGTTTCACAATGCTTCTCTCAAAATAGCCAAACTTCTATGATTTTGATTTTTGTCACTGGCATCTCCAACTTAGAGGACTAGAGCTTTATTTTGACACCTTCGCAGACTGACAGAAAACATGTCCAGGTCTAAAAACCATGTCCATGGTTGATTATAACCTTTGTTTATTTTAGGCAAGGCAGATTCTGGCAGATCCTGATCACCCTGGTGAGTTCAGGTTGCTTCCATCGGATGCAGGTATCTGCAGCCCAAATTGAGGATGAACAGACGGAAACACTCTTTCATCCCTGTAGCAATCAGGCTTCTCAACGAACACTGATGATTTCATGTATTATTTTAATGTCTCAGTGTCTTTAGTATGGATGTTTTGTGTGACTACTGACTGTGGAACAAATTGCCCCTTGGGGATAATAAAGATTCTTGAACTTATTTAACCAGGTAAATCCACATATCTCTATTTCAAGGGAGGCCTGGGCCTGAAGACCGCCTAACATGGATGTTTTAGGACTGTGATGGAAACCGTAGTACCCGGAGAAAACCCATGCAAACATGAGAACACGCAAACTCCACACAGAAAGACCCCAGGTCCAAAGCGGGGCTTGAACTCAAGAATTTCTTGCTGTGAGGTGACGGTGCTAACCACCAATCCATCCTGTTGCCCAAATGATAAAAACATAATTATTTAAATGGTCTAAATTATGGATGGGGCCAATCCGATCCAGTATCTGTATCGGCCTCTGATATCAGCAAAATTTACATATCGGATTTTCCGATCCACCTGCCGATATTTCTGATCCATGATGCATGTTGGCTTCAAACTATGGAATGGATTTCCTGAACGGAGGCGTGTCTCATGAGCCCAGAGTAATAAGACCCGCCTCACATTCAGGAAATCCAGTTCATAGTTTGCAGCCAGCTACAACATGAGGACTGAGTGAGCAACACTGTGGCTAACTGCTAACCAACTTTTCATCGAAACATGTCCGCTGTGTGGAAGTATTTTACACTAAACACCACAAAACAAGACAGTAACGTGCAATGTCTACAGAGCCATAGCGCCACATTAAACCGTGGTAAAGTTAGTTTTACGATGGACATTCGAGCTCCGTGGCTTCAGCGGGGCACTACTCTTTGGTCAAACCGAAAGAGGCGACTCGACACCGGCCAGCCGCGTCCAGTCTGCCCCGCTCAATCTGCCCGTATATGAGGAGGGACAGACTTGAGCGCGGCTGTCTGGGGTTCTCTCCTGGACCTGCTGCCTCCACAACCCGACTACAGATGTTCAGTAGGAGATGAAGATGGAAAATGTTCACACTTTCTCCCATTATTCACATGGAGTGTGGTTTGTTGCAAACTAGTCTCCAACAGTCACAACTTTGAGACAACTTTACTCTGTACTGCCTGCTTGTCAATTCCATTTATTCATGTAGCTCCAGAAGTCAGTTTAGTGTTCTATTAAAAAAAATAAAATAAAATACTAAATTGAATGCTGGTGAAGATTCTCAGTATTTCAGGTCATGATCAATCCATTAAAATCCATTATTTGCTCCCACTGGGGAGTCTGGTAAAAATCTCAGGATGGTTTCAGACTCTGACTTCAAGTTTGACATACAAATTAACTGTTCTGCAGAAAAGCTTCTTCCAACTCAGACAGGTAGCTAAGCTCAAGGCAGTGTTGTCCAGACCCGACCTTGAGAAACTAGTCCACGCCTTTGTCACGACCCGATTGGACTATTGCAATGCACTCTATGCTGGGGTCAGCCAGGCCTCCATTTCTCGTCTTCAGCTCGTCCAGAATGCTGCTCCTTGGCTTTTAACCGGAACTCGTAGGTCTGAACATATTACACCAGTTCTGTCCTCCCTTCACTGGCTCCCTGTTTGTACTAGGATAGTCTTTAAAATTCTTCTGGTGACCTTCAAATGCTTAAATGGCCTCGCACCCCTTTACCTCTCTGAGCTTCTGGAACCATACGTTCCCTCTCGGGCCCTGAGATCATCCAATCAGCTGCTTTTGGCTGTTCCAAAAGAAGACAAGCTCAGAGGAGATCGGGCTTTTTCAGTCATGGGCCCCAAACTCTGGAACAACCTGCCCCCCAACATCAGGCAGGCCACCTCCCTTCCTCACTTCAAATCCCTGCTAAAATCTCATCTGTTCTCGCAGGCATTTCACACAGTGTAAATTGATCTAGTGGGGTTTTATTTTTTTATCTGTGACCCTATGTTTTAAATGCTTTTTATTAAATCTTCAGTTATTATTATTAGTGTATTGTATTTTTTTTCTCTTTAATTTTACTCTCATTGATTGTTGTTGTTGTTGTTGTTGTTAAGCACTTTGATAACAGGTTCTATTTTAAATGTGCTCTATACATAAAGTTGACTTGACTTGACTTAAAAGGTTAAAAAAAAAAAAAAACTGGACTTATGTTCTGAAGCTGAAGACATATCCCTTCCCATCTGGGAGGCTTTATCATTTTTTTAAATGAACCAGACGTTTCTGAATTGATAGTTTCCTGGATGGGAAAGCAAAACATCTTCAGCTTCAGAATAGAAGTCCAGTTGATTTTGTTTTTCAATTTTTTATTATTATTAATTACATCAAATCCAATTAAGTTTAGTTTGAATAAATGCAATTCTAGATTTCCGGTCTGAAGCAATGACAGAATAAAACAGGTTGAGAGGCTTGTATTGTTTTTCAAACAAGGTCAAAACTGTTCAAGCTTTATTTATACAGGTTAGTCTCATTACTGTTGCCTTGTGCTTGCTCAGGATGGGAGACTGTGATGAAATGAAGACTCGGTGCAATCTGCTGGCTACTCTACCTCAGATAAATAATGTTACCAATTGCATTTTTATGTATATGAATGTTTCCGTTCAGTGCCCTGAGATCACTTCTGTTGTGACTTGGAGCTGTATAAATAAACTGGATCGAACTGAACCAGAACTAAATTACCAGGCAAAACGAAAAATTCCAAAACATGAACTAAAAGTTTAATTAGAAAAAAATCACCACTAGAGAAACACAATCGAGAACAAAAGGTTGTGAGACAAAATGAGCCTAATGCAAGTTTGGTTTTGATTAGGGATGTCCCGATACTATTTATTATTACTATTTTTATTATTTTTGTTGTTGGTGTTGTTTTCCAGAATAAGTACTAGTAGTTCAGTTGAAGTACTTGCCAATACAGAGTACTGATTCAGAGTTGTTAATGAGTTAGTACTTTAACGATATGCAATGACTTCTTTAGAAACGCTTTTTTTGGCCTTAGTTAATGAAATGGAGGAGGAAATGAACTCACCAAGCA